CGTTGACTAAGGTTTCTCGTATTCATAGCTGCTCGTTATACTCAGATTTAATAGTTAAAAAAAAAAATGAAATTGGCTTCACTATTCTTTCTCTCTATACTGCAGGGAGTCTTCCCTCCCACGAGACCAACAAAAAGAAGAGTAAGAGACAATGGGTAGAGAGACAATTATGTTGTCTCCACCTCAAGGGCAATATAGCTAATGGATTGAAGCTTACCAACTGTTGGGTGTGTCATTCAAAAATTAAAAAACCCAGGAGAACAAACCCTAATATTAGGACAACCAGCACTGGTAGAATACGGGTACATTAACCACAACAACCAGACAATCCCATTTGACACCTAAAGACACCAAAGTAATCATCTTCCAAGTGAAGCCCATCCCGGCGGACGCCAGGCACGACAGTAATGGAAGTGCATGTTTCAAGCTGTGAAGAACCTTCTCCCTTCAGTTACTTGGTTTCTGCCCCTGCATGGTCTGCTAACTGCCATCCTGCTGGTACTTCTTTTTGGTCCTCGCTTGTTTCACTTACTTGTTAAGTTTGTCTCCTCCAGATTACGAAAGTTCCACCTTAGATGATGGTTGCACAGGGATTCTAGCCCATTCCCCTTCAAGAAGAAACACAGCCAGCTTATGAAGGGCCTTGGGGATCCAGGGAAGATACAACAGTTTAGCTCAGACAGCATGACAGTTCCACTCCTCTAACCTTTAGCCCCTGCGCCCACATGTCAGCAAAAAGTAGCTTTAAAACAAGAGACCTCCATCCCTAAACCCCTCAAGAATGAGGGGTGTGAATTTCTCAGGGGGGAGTTGAGACCAGCTAGGGACAGAAAAGGCCTTAAACAACAAGTTATGTCAGTTAAAAATTTTTCTGGAAGAAGAAAGGTGTCAACCACAAAACACTGTTTACCTCACTCGCGGTTAAAGTTCAAGCTGCTTCCTTCTAATCTTCCCGCTTGCAGCTGTCTTTCAGATCAGCCAATCAGAACTAGAATCCTGGGTGTGCGCGGTAAGAGACGAGGCTGACTACCAGATGGCCCTATCCCATAATAAGTATTGCCTAGGAACCAAAAGACCCATGCCAAGGAACCAAAATCACCAGACATACGTCACTGAGTGGTGACCGAGCCCATTTCATAAGAAGTCCGTCAGCCCCTTCTGTGCCAAGTCCTAGCCTGACCGCTTTTTGAACATGTACCCCTTTTCTGCATAGTACAAAACTTCCTCCAGCCCTTTGTTTGGCAAGAGAGTGCTTTGGGACTGACTTCCCTATCTCCTTACACGCAGCGAGTAATAAACTCTGCCTCGCTTTAAATCTGCTTGACTCTCAGTTATTCTTAACCAGAGGACAAGTGGTGAACTTATCGCGTTCAGTAACACTACCCCCCGGGGCACCCCCAGCTCCCCCCAGGACGCCCCCTGCTTTAGTGCGTGACTGTGCCTGAGAGAAGTGGGTCTTGTCCCCTGGGCACAGTGGAGCAGAAAGGCATGTCAATGACCATGGTCTAGACAGATGGTGGGAGACAGCTGGAGAAAGGGCCAACTGGATCCTCTCAGTATCTGTGCTCTGAATGTGCCTCAGCCATTCTGCCGGCAGCGAGTTTCTGAAACAGCAAACGCTTCTATCCCACGCCCCTCTCGGGCTCAGACACCAGCTTCCTTGAGTTAGTCATCATTTACCTCTGGTGCCGTGTGCCCTCGGGTCTCTCCAGCCGCGTGTCAGCTGACTGCACTAGTCAAAGAACACGCTCCCAAGAGTCCTGACCGTGAAGAACTGTTGCTCGTGAATGTGGTGGCGACGGCACCAAGAATCACTCGTTCACAGTGTTTACTAACCGTGACTAAAACTTCATGCTGAACAGACAAAAACCACACAGTCAAGTCCCCAAAAGGGGCTGACAGAGGAAGTGATCAACATTTGGGCCCTTCATTTTTTATACTTATTTAAATTTTTAAAACCATGTTGCCTAGTCCATTGAGCCCTATCTAGCGAATACCTTTCTGTGAATAATCAACTCATTTTTTGACGTCACTTTTTTTCAGTACAATTTAAAACCCAGAAAACGAAACCTGTTCCTGTCGAGTGAACTCCGACCCACAGCGACCCTATAGGACAGAGGAGAACCGCCTCATAGTTTCCAAGGAGCAGCTGGGGGATCTGAAATGCTGGCCTTTTGGTTAGCAGCCAAGCTCTTAACCACCACACCACCAGGGCCCCCTGAGTGCCATTTATTTCCTTTAAAAGGTAATGGGCTATTTGGGGCCCAAGTGGTCAAAGTAAACTGCTGGGTAAGCGTGAGATGGCTGACAATCACAAAGGGCCCTTTCTAAAGGCACAAGCCCACAAGGACAGACAAAGAAAACAGGAAGGACGACAACAGAGCAAGACTGTAGACGCCGGCAAGCCGACGGATGGCTGGTAATGGGGCTAAGCAGGTGAGAAAACAAATGGTAAGTGCCATGGAAAGCTGGCGGGCGTGAACTCACACTGCTGCGGGACCCTCTGAGGCTCGGCACTGGTGGTACAGGTGTTTCCAGAAGGGAAGGTGAAAGGGGCCGTACAGTAGGAGGGCTGGCTGCAGCCTTTTGAAGCAGCATTATCTGGCCCCCACCACCCACCTCCCCACACAGCCACCCACCCTTACCAACCAGAGGTTTAGTCTTCAGAGAAGACAGAGTTACAGTGTCTAGACTGGGGAAGGGAGCCCCTGTGTGGTGCAAATTATTAATATTCTCAGCTAATAACCAAAAGGTTGGAGGTTCAAGTCCACCTAGAAGCACCTCGGAAGAAAGGCCTGGAGATCAGCTTCCAAAAAATCAGCCATTGAAAACCCTACGGAGCACGGTTCTACTCTGACACACATGGGATGGCCATGAGCTGGGGTTGACTAGACTGGGGGACACCATACATGCGGAGGGCAGGGGCACCACGCTGAAAATGGGGTGCTCAGCGAGGATCATAGAGCCCCACTTTCCCTCCCACTCAGCTCCAGAATACTGGCATGGTGGCCAGGGTCACAGCCTCTGGACCCCAGACCGCAGAAGCCTTCCCTGGGGCATCTGACTGACCTCAAAAACAAGATCTAAAGACCCTGGCGCTGCACAATCTCTGAGGAAAGGCACAGCCTGATCATCCTCCCGGGAGTGAAACCGGCATGGAGAGGCTCCTCCCGCATGTGCAGAGCTTCAATAAGCCCTCCAAGACAGGGGGGCACAGCCAAGTATCACCCAACAACCCAGGATTGCCTCTGTATAAAGGCAGAAGGAAAAAAAATGAACTTGGAGGAAACTGAGGTTACAAAGGGGGTAGAAAACACCCAGAAAGCTATCATCAAGACCTCAGAGTTCAAAAGATTATACTGCGCCTATGCAATGAAGAACAGGCTGCTGGAAGGCACAATATTCAGAGATCACAAACGAACTCTTGGGAATGAAAACTAACAGGCAGAAATAAAGAACCCAATAGGAAGGTTAGAAGTTGAGGAGACATCCCAGAATGAACAAGAAAAAGATATGGAAAGTAGAAGTCAAAAAAATGAGAAAATCTGAGGACCAGTCTCTGAATAAAAAAATCCAGAAAAAGAGAACAGAGAAAAAAGAAGTAAAGTAACAATTTCTGAGAATTAAAGGGCATGAGTTTCTAGTTGGAAAGGAGCATGGAGCACCCACCCAAGAAATTTCAGAACACTGGGACAAAGAGAAGATCCTGCAGCCTTCCAGAGAGCAAACACAGGTAACAGCAACAGACTGCTCAATGGCAACCCTGGAAGCCAGATGACAGCGGAGCCATGGCTTCAGAATTCTGAGGAAAATTATTTCCAACCTCAAATTCTATGCCCAGCCTAGTTATCAATCAAGTATTAGGTAAAATAAAGACATGTAAGATCTCAAAAAATCATCTCCGTTGCACTCATTTCCTCAGGAACCATTGAGGGGTTTGCTCCGCCCAAACAAAGAGCAAAGCAAAGCAGAGTAAGATGCAGGATCAGGAAACAGGGGACCCACCAGAGAGGTGGAAGGAACCCTGGGTCAACAGTGAAAGGAGATCCCGAGGCGGGCAGTGCAGGAGGCTGGAGCCACTGGTCCAGAGCAAAGCAGGAAGAAAGTTCTGGGAGAGGCCTCCTCAGGAAGGTGAACTTGACAGACGGGTTGATGTGAGAGCGTTGAGAGGAGACTCACCCAGCTGGGGGAGGGTTTGGAGGTACAGTATCATTAGTACACACAAAAACCCAGATCAACAAAAACCAGACAAGTGTGAACTCCAGAGAAAACAAAAGTCGGGCAGGAAAGAAAAAGAACCCACCCATGCTTCATGGTCTGGCTGTCAATGGTGTTTACGCAGTGATCACAACGTCAGCGCTAACAATGACCTGGTTACAATTCACTCTCCACTGAGAGCGGAGGGCTGGGTGTGGAAGCGCCAAACCCTCATCTCCCACAGAGAGAGCCCCAAACTGAAAATCAACAGGGAGTCAGGGGTGGGCAGGAGGGAGGAGGAAAAGGGACTCGCTGCTCGGGAGACCCTGAGCTTCTGCTAAGGTGATGGAAAAAGCTGGAAGCGGATGTAATTGTGACAGGTGCACAGCGTGATGAATACAGTTCATGTCACCAAAGTGTACACACGAAGAATGTTGAAAAGGCAGATGTTCTGTTACATATTTACCACAATAAAAAAATATCGACCAGGAGCAATGCAATAAGCATGACATTCAGAGATGTGGGGGGACCTACGAAGCCTCTGCTAAAGGGATGGAAGTTGTTTCCGGGAGCAGGAAATGGGGGAGGGGTGGGGTGGGGGGACGCTGTATTCACAAAGGCTCTCAGAACTGTCCAGACCACACGCATCAGTCATGTTGATAAAGGCAAAAACCAGATTTAAAATTATAGCCCAAATGCCTGTTACTGAGGGAGCAGACCCCCAGGACAGTCTCCCAGGGGGACACACCCCCAGGCTAAGGATGTTCAGATGCACGTGCAGAGAACCCCCAACAGCCACGCACCTTCGATGCCTTCTCGGCTTTGAGGGCTCTCACGATCTCCCCCTGAGCAGCTATGCTGTTGAACAGTTCCATTGGGGACGCTGGGGGCTCGCCGTTGGCCGTGTCCGCCATTTCCCGGGGCCTGGGTTCACAGCTGGTGAGGGTGGCGGAGGACTTGCCCAGTGGTCGAGAGAAGACTGCAGGGGAAGAGGAGAGACTGATTAACAAGCCATCCCTGCGGCTTTTCCTTTTCTGTACTGAATCCTCCTGTTTCCCAAAGAGGGTGTGAGGTGACTTGTTACAGAGAATATGGATAGAAAACACTACTAATTAAAAACATCAGCTACAGTCTGAAGCCGTGGAAAAGAGGAAGAACGAAGGTCGATGGTGAGGGCCGGAGGAGTTGCTGTGACTCAGTGACTTCAGGGCTGCCAGGTATCGTCCCTCCCAGCCAAGGCCAAGAGGCTCCCGTTGGTGCGGCCGCTGTGCCTTGCCCGGTGCCAGGCCCAGGAGGTACTCAGGTTTGCTCAGGGGAGAAACACCAGCCTGCTTTAGTAAACCTATGTTCGAAAGAGCTGAAGATACTTGGCAAATTGTTAGCTGCTCTTTATCTTAATTGCCCTGGGGACGAATTCCCAGGGCTTTGCTGCCATATCCCACACACAGCTAAGCAAACAGCTTCCTGTGCTAACCAGCTGCTCTATTCCCAGGCAAGGCGAGGTCTAGGGTGGAGGGCAGGGCCTTACCTGTTCTGGGTTCCAAGTGAAGTTGAGGACCACATGTAGCTGGTCCATTCTAGATGCTGCCTTATTTACGGTCACTGTGAACTCTGAAGGTGTGTCTGTAAGTCACTATTTGCAAAGGATGGGGCATACAGCAGGCTACCTATGCGGCCCTGTGGGCAGATACTTGCCACCATCAGCCCCTCTCTGCCTTCCCCCTTCACCCATACCTGCCCTCGGCGGTCCCTTTAACCAGGTAACTTGGGGCCCTTGTCCTCCGAGGTTGCCTTCTAGTTGCCCACGCTTATCACACCTTCTCTTCCTACTTCTGTAACTTTACTAACACTCCAGTAGCCTCACCAGGTACCAGGGACTGTTCTAAATGCTCCCCCAAATTAACCGACTCAATCCACACAGCTATCCTGTGTGGAAGGTACTATTTGTATCCCCACTTTACAGACGAGCAGCTGAGGTACAGGCAGTAAGCACCTCGCCCAAATTCACAGCTAGTATGTGGTGGTGGCGGCAGCGGCAGGATCTCAATCCAGGCACCACTAGGTAGTGCGCCTGTCTCTGCCTCGTCTATTCTTCTCCAACTCCCCTCATGTCTCAAATACCCCTTTCAAGCAAATTTCAGTTTAGATGTTGCTTCCTCCAGAGTCATCCCTGGAGGAAGCAACATGGAGACCTAGCTCCCTGGCCTGCTCCCTAACCCAGCAGCCAGCACACTGCTCGGTGCGTTAGCACTGATTCCGAGAAGGCCGGGCCTAGCTTCCTGCGCTTGCTGCTGTGTCCTCAGAGCCTCGCACACCCCGCTCAGGGCTGATGTGTGAGAGGGGGTGGTGAGTAAGGGACCTTAGCCACTAACTTCATCGCTATCAAGCCAATCCCTCCTTCTCAAATTGCACTGAGGCTATGAGCTGAAGACTAGCGACAGGAATGCCCCACCACTGATAACAGGAAAAGAGGAACTGCTGTTCTCGAGCCAACACGAGATATTCTACCTTTCAAAGCAACAGGATGCTCACTACATTTCAGAGAGACTGCTGTTCATAAAACTGAAAATTGTGCATCAAGGGTCTGCTCTCCGGATCCTCAGTTCTTGGCAGGGGACACTTACCGGTCGGCGAGCAGCAGAGAGTAAGCTTAGAGGAAGGGGAACGACATGGCATGTAGAAAGAACTCTGCACTCGGGTCCCAAGACCGGGGCTTCACCAGAGCTCCATACATGTGGGCCAGTGACCCTGGCCCAGTCACTTCCCCTTCTGAGCATCGGCCTCCTCACCTATCAAATGGCACCATCAGGAGACTCTCTACCTACACAAGGACTGTTACTAGAACAAGACAACAGGGTAGCATTTTGTAGACTGTAAAGTAAGATACACTTTATAAGGTATTTCTAAAGGTATAAATACTTTGTTATTCAATTTGTTTTTGTTTTGTTAGGGTTCTGGAGTTTGGCTGAACTCCCAGCTCCATCTATAACTTGCTGCTAGATGTCAAATGAGGATGAGGCAGTGATGCTAATACCAGAGCAGCTAACTTGGAGCACTTCCGTACTGGTTCTAAGCACCTTATCCACAGCAGCACAGTTAATCCTTACAGCAACCCTATGAGACAAACTTGCTACCTGCATTTCACAGATGAGTAAACTAAGGCACAGACAGGTTAAAAAACTTGCCCCAGATAACGCAAATGGCAGAGATAGGAGACACACTCAAGCACTTGGCCTCTAAAGCCCATGCTCTCAACCATTATCCTATGAGTTAGTTAGCTTCAGTCTCTCAGCTGTAACACAGATGCTAACTTGCAGGACTGTTGCGAGCATTAAGCACAATAATGTAAGTAACTAGTCTAGCACAGAAACTGTTCCATAGCAGAGGCTTAATAAACGACTATTCTGTTTAACCAATTTTAATTTTCTAGTTAACTCTATTAACCAAACACATACATGTGAAGTGTGATTTATTTTTATTTGCCCATTGGTTAAATATTTGTTTAAAAAGCATGTTAACTCTTTCCCCTCCCATACAAAAATTTATACACACATTGTTATGTGACTGTAATTGCTCTCCCCATACTGTGACAGCACACTCCTCCTTTCCACCCAATTCCCCATGTCCATTCAACCAGCTCCTAACCCTCTCTGCCTTCCGATCTTACCTCCGGACTGAAGCTGCCTGTTTAGTCTCTTGTATCTACTTGAGCTAAGAGGCACACTCCTCACGAGTATCACTTTATGTCCCACAGTCCAGTCCAATCCCTGTCTGAAGAGTTGGCCTCGGAAACTGTTTTAGTTCTGGGTTGATAAGAGAATCCAGGGGCCATGCTTTCTGGGGTTCCTCCAGTCTCAGTCAGACCATTAAGTCTGGTCTTCTTACTACAATTTGAGTTCTGCACCCCACCTTTCTCATGCTCCATCCAGGACTCTCTGTTGTGTTCCCTGTCAGGGCAGTCATTGGTGGTAGCTGGGCACCATCTAGCTCTTCTGGTCTCAGGCTGATGAAATCTCTGGTTTATGTGGCCCTTTCTGTCTCCTGGGCTACAACTTTCCTTGTGTCTCTAGTGTTCTTCATTCTCCTTTACTCCAGGTGGTTGGGACCAACTGATGCATTTTAGATGGCTGCTTACTAGCTTTTAAGACCCCAGATGCCACTCACTAAAGTAGGATGCAGAACATTTTCTTAATAAGCTTTGTTATGCCAATTGACCTAGATGTCCCTGAAAGCGTGGTCCCCAGACTCCCACCCCTGCTGCTCTGTCCCTCGAAGTGTTCGACTGTATTCAGGAACTTCTTAGCTTTGGTTTAGTCCAGTTGTACTGACTTCCCCTGTAGTGAGTGCTGTCCTTCCCTTCACCTAAGGTGATTCTTATCTGCTATCTAGTTAATAAATAACCTTCCCCCTCCCTCCCCACCCTCATAACCATCAAAGAATGTTTTCTTCTGTGTTTAAACCTTTTCTTGAGTTCTTGTAATCGTGGTCTTATACAATATTTGTGCTTCTGTGACTAAATTCACTCAGAATAATGACCTCCAGCTTCCTCCATGTTATGTTTCACGGCTTCATCGCTGTTCTTGTCGTTGTGTAGTATCCATTGTGTGTACGTACCATAATTTGTTTATCCATTCGTCCGCTGATGGGCACCTAGGTTGTTTCCATCTTTTTGCTGTTGTGAACAGTGCTGCAATGAACATGGGTGTGCATATATCTGTGTGACAGCTGTTATTTCTCTAGGATATATTCCAAGGAGTGGGATAGCTGGATCGCATGGTACTTCTATTTCTAGCTGAAAAGCATGTTAACTTTTAACCAAACAAATCTTTATATGGGTCAACGAAACTACAATATTGAAACCAGGAGGGGATAGCACCCAGTTTCTCTCCCCTCCTTGCTGGGAACCACCTCGATTCCCAGAAAGGGAAGTCTGGTGAGATAGCCAACATACCACCCACAGTTGGGGAGGCCTGCAAGACAGGAGGAATGAAAAGTACCCTCTGACCAGCACCGAGGGAGGAGAAACGCCCAGCTCCCCACCACTTCCTCAGCCTCAAGCTACCAACGGAGTCACAGGGGGTTGCCCGTTTCACTGAGGGTCTTTGACGATGTCAAGTAACAATCGCAGTGGTGCAAACCAGAGCCACAGTGATCAGCACCTCGTCCAGAGGCTTTCCACATGATCCCTAATTCTCACAAATTTTGAGGCTGGGTGAGACAGCTCACGCTCTGCATCAGCAGATAAGGCTGACGGCTCAGGGAAGTTAGAGCAGCTCTCCCCAGCTCCTCCCACCAGATTTGCTGCCAAAGCCTCCCTGGATCGTGTGTTCTCAGAATTCCAGCTGTCCCCCCCCACCCCCAGAATGTCTTTCACCATTCTCTGCCTGGAAACAGCCAATATCTTTCTAATTAAAACAGCCTTTTCTGACCCTGGCACCCCTCGGGCCAAGTTGGTCACCCCCTCCTGGGCGATCCCTGAGCATTCGTCAGGAACTCTATCAAAGCTCACACTGCATTTTAGTTACTGAGTCTCTGATGCTAGACAGCAATAGCAGTGCTGGGCTTCAGTCTTCCATGTACTCCCAGTACCTGAGCACAGCTTCCCAACATCTACCGACTGAAGGAATCTCAGAAGTCATCTAGTTCAGCCTTTTCCCTAATGTTTGTACCCTCTTACACCACCTCACAGGTGCTGGTCCAGTTTCAGGCCGATTGCCCAGTCTAGCCTTTGGCCAGCCTCTCACTTAGGCAGTGTAATGCTCGCCCTGATGCTGAGCCGACCTGGCCGAGATTCGGGGAGAGCCCAGCTGATCTCCCTGCGTCTTCCCTCCTTCAGCCCTACGCCACCCCTGCAATTCCAGTTTCTTCACCCATTGCTAACATCTGCCCACTCTCCTGGCATTTTGGAATTCCCTTCAGCTTACCCGTGTCCTTCCAAAAACGTGACGCCCTGCACAGAAGGCACCAGGTGGTGGCAGTAAGGTTCTGAAGTCTGTGGGTTGGATGAAAATTAAAGTCTAGACGGAAACTGCCCTTGGAAATGCCTAGAGACAGTGCAGGCAGAGTCACTGGCCCAGCCTCTGGGCGAGCCTCGGGCAGTCGCAGCTCCCCCCACAGTGGAGCACGGAACTGTGCCGCTGGTAGAGGATCAGTTAGAGGAACTGTGCTTACACGTTAAGGGCCATGTTGTAGGAAAAACCATGTATCTTTAAATGCCAGAAGCCCATTTGAGAAGAGGCACGCAGGAACTAAAACGGACTCCCTGTTCTCAGGATCACCATCAGGCATGCGCTCACTGTCTCCCAATCTCCCACACTGTTTAGATCTTGTGTGAGCGTGTGTGTGCGTGCGTGTGAGTGTGATGCAACTTGTGTGTTTGTGCTTTAGGAGTGGTCAGAGACAAGCAGAGTAGAACCACTGTCTTCCTCATTCCATACATCCATCCCCCTGCCCCATTTACTGTACTCCCCATCTATTCAACATCCTCCTTTTTTTCCCTGTGAACTAACTATGAAAGTCCACCAACAGCTGCATGTGCTTTGGTACGTGCGTGGTTCTAAGCAGAGCCTGGGGTCTGGGGAGCCATAAGGCTGAGGACCATTGTCTTAAGTGTTTATCCCATCACCAGTATACAAGGCTTCTGAGTCTGTGTTAAGAAAAGCTACATTCTCTATTTAGCAAATACTACAATCTGAAACAACGAAACTGAAGCTATACTCTGCGAAGTAATCTATCACCTCCTCTAAACAAAGGTACTGAGGATGTAAAATGCAAAACTGCATGCTTCACAGCAGATCACAGCACACCTTTGAAAAACCAAAAAAGGCTCTTAAAAATGAACTCTCAATCCCTCTTTTTAAGAACTTTAATCCTGTGCTCATTTTGAAAGGCTCCACTGTTCTGGAGGAGTACGGCAGGTACCTGAAGAAACTGGGCGCAGATTTGGGGTGAGAAATGGAAAGAATAATGAACTGCCTAAGAGAACAACTTGACACTGACTTGGGCTATACCCAAACCACCTCACAGATAAGATGAGGACACACTGATTCTACAATTTGTAGGAAGGGTGGCACCAAGACTACCAATTCTGAAGCAGCTAGGAAGAGCAGGGTTCCAGGAAAGTTTCTGGATGCCTGGGATACCACTCGAAAAAAACCCACTGCCGTCGAGTTGATTCTGACTCATAGCAACCCTACAGAACAGAGTAGAACTGCCCCATAGGGTAGTGCCTGGTGGATTTGAACCGCTGACCTTTAGGTTAGCAGCCGTAGCTCTTAACCACTACGCCACCAGTTTCCAAAACTGGTGGAGGTGCCGGGGAATGAACCTGGGACCTCGATACTACCAGGAACTGAAATACTGCTTTTTACACCCTGGCTATAGGGTGTGGTCGACAATGGCACCGGACTGGCAAGTTCCCAGAGGACAGAAAATCGAGTCCGTTAGAACAAGCAGTTCTTTACACTGCAAATCTTGGAACAGATCATGCTCCATTTTTTCTTTTTTTAACACTAAGAAGAAAAGTTGTTTTTCCCTCCAAATAATAAAATGAACATTATCTTAAAAGAAGCCATGAATTTAGACGAAGCAAGGCATAAGATAATTTGGGGTATTACAAAGAGAATGCTAATCTGTTCAGATGTTGCCTCTTTAAAAATGTGTCCGTGAAAAATAGGACCGCCAACAAGAAAGTGCTGAAAGGCAAGGTAGAATCCAAGCAGGCAGCTGCTTGTCCACGATCTCCACTCCCTATGCGAGCAGTGAAGCACTGCAACTCTGGATCAACAGGATGAAATAAAACACACAAGGCTCCTGATCCTGAGAAAGACAACCCCTCACCCCCAAAGCCAAGGTTTCCAGTCCTTTGGCCAAAGGCTGGTTAAAAATAACCAAATCTAACAAGCTCTCAGCCTGGCAAAGCTGGCAATACGTACCCAGGTTGCGGGACACTGAAGAGGTGGTCACTGCTCACAGCCCACGGGGAAGTTGAGTAGCTGAGACTAGCTGGTGCTGCCAGAGGTCTTTAATAGTCTCCCCTTCTTTCTTTCAGTTTCACTTTTAGAAAAGGCTTTTATTTTTCCTCTTTCTTGTACACCCCACCCTTCAGCTACTTGCACTTAGCATTTCTTAGAAACCACTTCGATTCTCAGAAAACACCTGAGCCTCTTAACCAACCAAAATAAAAATGTCCAATCAGAGAACAATGAAATCCTCCGGAGAGACGAGAGCTATTGGCTCCTCATTGCATCAGCCATCCCAGACCTCAGGTTGCATCAGCCACCCTTATGCCCCATACTGCCTGCCATATGGTCTCCCCACCCTTTCCCGTTCCTGAATCGTGTGTGAATGAATTGTTTGTGTACTGCGGTCGTGGGGGGCGGGAAGGCGGCCTGGAAATTCCCTGCAGCTATTGTCCGCTGAAGTGGTGCAGTGCAGAGGAAAGATCCTTAGCTCCGGGGTCTGACAGCCCTGGGTTTCAATCCAGTCGGGCATTTTCCTGCTGCGAGACCTTGGACAAGTCATATTACCTCTCTGCTCCTCCCTCAGTTTCCTCATTTGTGAAACGGGCATAAAAAGAGCTCGGCTGCTAACCAAAAGGTCAGCAGTTCGAATCCACCAGCCCCTCCTCGCAAACCCTATGGGGACAGTTCTCTATCCTATAGGGTCGCTATGAGTCGGAATGGACTCGACGGCAACGAGTCAGCATTACCGATGAGGGGACTAAGTGTGATACAATAGCCAAAGCGCCTGGCACGTGGCAGACACTCCATAGAAGTGGGGACCTCGCCCCTTAAGGTTGGACGGAAAGAGGTCAGAGCCGATGAGGGTCGGAGCCGGCAGAACTGGAGGACAGGCCGCGTTGGCGGCGCTCGCAGAAAGGGGGCGAGGGGTCGTGGTGGCCTCCGCGCTTCTCGCGATGCCAGAAGCCTGCGGGCAGCATGCCAGGTTGAGAACATCCCAAGCCCAGGCATGCAAGCAGCCCCGGGAGATCAGACCACCGGGTGCCGCCCGGCCTGTCTCCCTACCTCCCTCACTACTCACTCACCGGCCCCGCCGGGCCCGTCTGCGCCTTCGGCTCAGCTACGGGTCGCTGCCTGGGCGTCCGCAAAAAGGCCGTCCGGGCGGGACGACTTCCGTCTCGGCTGCGCCACCATTGGATGTTCACGCGAGGGCGGGGCTAAGACCGCAGCTGATTGGTTGGCGGCCTCAGTGCTGCGGCGGAACGCCGCTCTGCCGTGGAGTGAGGGTCGGACAGCCTCCATGAGGACCGAGCGCTTCCGGTGCGTGTGGTGAGCGGCGGGCCCCGGGTGGGAGAAGGACCGGCACCCGGCCAGGGCCAGAGCGCTCGGCGCACTTCAGCGCGAGCTTGTCACTACTGCTCACCTTCTCCTCAACTCTCGTTCCTTCCGAAAGCGCAGTGCTCTGGATCACCCTTGCCTTTCACACTTGACAGCTCGGCTAACTCCTATTCATCCTTCAAAGCCCATCTCTGGTCGTATCTTGTTTGCTGCCTTCATCGGTCTGTGGCCTTCGCCCAGGCAGGGTCCGTGTTTTGTGTTTAATCTCTGCCCCCATCAGACCCAGCATAGGGGTTGGCACAGAGTAGGTAATCAGGAAATACTCGTTGAATGAGAATATCAGGTTTCTTCTACTTCCTCTGTGCCCCCCTTCCACTAGGTTGCATTCCAGGAATATTTCTAGAGTTGGGGATCGAACAGTGGACAAAACACACCAACAGCCCTGCTCTCACGGAGTCGACATGCCAGTGGCTGTCAGTGCCACTCACCCCATCCTTTTTTTAGCCTCTTCGTATGTCTTTACTTCCACCTGCCTGTACGTCTTCCTCTTAGTTCAGTCACCTCCCTCTTTCCTTGAAAAATATTCCTTTTGTTTTCTTTCACCTTAGAAACATAAAAGGCAGCAAACTCTTCTTGAAGTTTATGTTGTTCCTGTCAGCTCCTCACCTCCATTTTGCCTGTTTGCCTTTAATCATCCTCGTCTCCTTTCTCAGCCCATTCAGAAGGTTCTGCTAGTTAGGAGCTTTCTCTAAATGTCACCTTCTCTCTGAGGCCTGCCTCGGCCTCCCTATGGAAAACTGCAACCCACTGCCACTCCCCGCCCCCTTATCTGTTACTTTTCCCCTTAGGGTGTCTCACCACCTGACAACTTCTGTTTTACTTGTTTATGGTCTGTCTCTGGTATGGGAGCCTGGTGAGCACAGGGCATTGGTTACTGTTTTGCTCACTGCGGTGTTTCTGGTGCTTGGCAAGAAGTGGATGCTCCCTTAATGTTTGTTGAATGACGGAATGAAATGTAGATGAAGCAGATTGACTCAGGACGCCTATCCTCCTCCTCCTGCATTCATTCAGTCCTTGCTGCCTTGCCTTGTAGGGGAGTGGGGTTAAGGGGGCCCCATCCCACTACTCTGATATCTGCTCAGACCTCGTCTTTAATTTTGGGTGTTGGCTTCTCCCGTGCCCTGGCCATTGTGGACAGCTCGATGGGAATTCATTCTAACGGCTGAGCGCGGGCCCCACGGTAGTGGGCCTGTGATTCCCTTTGACTGGGAGCAGTGGGCTGTTCTGGTGGGTGGTGCTGTGCATAGGAGTTGAGACAGGTGAGATGTCTGATCAGGATGGGATTTAGAGAGCAGAATTGCCAAAATCGTTCACAGCACCACACCATCCCATTATGAACCCATTTGAGATGGGCTGGTTTGTTTTAGAAGTTTCGAGACTGTGGCTTTGTGTGCGGCAGTTGTTAGACCTGCCTGCTTTAGGTGCAGGTGAGGGTGGGATTGTTGGAGGAGGCAGGCTGACTATGGAACATTTATTGACTTGTATGGCAGCCGAGCCCTTCAGGTGGATGGTGCCATTTGGGGAAAGGCATGGGAGGGGCGGGGCGATTGGAACCCGCTGTCCAGGAGGAGGGGTGGGTGAAAGACGGGCAGTGTGGAATGGCTTAACAACGGGTCTCACCTCACATGGGGGTGTGGGGTGGGAGGGGGAACTCACCAAGGTTCAGCACGCTGGCTTCCTCTGAAGTTGGTTGAATGCCTGAGCTCGGCCCCTTTGAGGGCTGCAGTACCGCGCGCTCAGCTCTCCTGGACCAGCATCCTTGGATTTCAGTACTGCTCCACCGCGCCCTCTGCTGTCCTGGACATGTCCAGCATCCTTGCCAATTTCAGGTCCACTCCTGCTGTCCCGCATCCTTGCGGATTTCAAGGCTACTCCACCGCGCCCTCTGCTGTCCGGTCGTGTCTGGCATCCTTGCCAATTTCAGTGCAGCTGCTCCCCGCTTTCTGCGATTCGGTCGTGTTCCCGTATCTTCCCTGGTTTCCCGTCCTCTCCACCGCGCCTTCTGCTGTTCGGACGTGTCTGGCATTCTTGCTTTACTCTTGATTGTACTTTTGCTAACATCGCAGGATTAGAACGTTGAACTCCAGACTAAAGCACTGCTTTCTGGGAACTAGTTGGTAACAATTTGTTGTGTATGACAGTTCAGAATTTCAGAAGAATTTTTTGAAAGTGGGGAATTCGTGGATGTGTGAGTCTGTGTGCTGAGGTGAAATAGGCAGATTTGGATCACACCCTCGGAATTGCTTCCCCCAGCACTTGGGTGCACTGATGCCGCAGGCACCTGGGCCTTGTGTTGTGAGTCTGTCTGTCCCGCTGGCCTAGAGTCCAGACGGGATATCTGGGGGAAGACCGTTCTGAGAGGGCGGGTGGAGGGAAGGAGCAGAGTGCAATGGGGAGCACAAAGATGAGGGTGACTTGCTTTTCCCACCTGGTGGATTCCAGACATCATTCCATTTCTGTATTTTCAGACCCACCCCATTCATGAGGCCGAGTCTGTGTTCTTCCCATTCCTTGTTAACTCACAGTGCTGCAGGACTTTTTATACACCTCTCTTTGCAGACGTGCTGGGATCTGTGTAGGACAGAGGTCTAAAGTGGGGTTGTTGGGGGTAAAAACAATATGTGTTTGCATTTTTAATAGCAGTTATACCAGTTGCCGTCCAGTTGATTCTGATTCACAGTGACCCCACGTGTGTCAGAGTAGAACTGTGCTCCATAGAATTTTTAATGGCTGATTTTTTAAGAAGTAGACTGCCAGCCCTTTTTTCCAGGGTTCCTCTGGGTGGACTTGAATTTGCATCCTTGCGGTTAGCAACCGAGCACAGCATTGTCTGTTTGCACTATTCAGGGACTCGTTTTAATTAAAAAAAAAAAAACCTCAAAACTCATTGCCATCAAGTCAATTCCAGCTCACAGAATTATAAGTCATGTGTTGAAAAGTAGAACTGCTCCATAGAGTTATCTTGCCTGTAATCTTTTTTTAAAATTTTATTTTGTTGTTGAGAATGTACACAGAAAACATACACCAATTCAACTGTTTCTACGTGTACCATTCAGTGACATTGATTACATTCTTTGAGTTGTGCACCATTCTCACCCTCTTTTTCTGAGTTGTTCCTTCCCCAATAACATAAAATCTCTGCCCCCTAAGGTTAGTATTTAATCTTTCAGGTTGCTATTGTCACTTTGATCTCGTATAGATAGTCCTTAAAAGGGCATTATGCTCGAGGCAGACGTATTTTAATAGTTAAGCTGAGCTATTTGTTTTTTTTTAATAGTTGTCTTTTTTTTTTTATTGTGCTTTAGATGAAGATTTACAGAGCAAATTAATTTCTCATTAAACAAATGTTGTTGCTGTTAGGTGCTGTCGAGTTGGTTCCAACTCATAGCGACCCTATGTACAATAAAATGAAATACTATGCCATCCTCACAATCGTTGTTACACTTGAGCCCATTGTTGCAGCCACTGTGTCCATCCATCTCATTGAGGGGCTTCCTGTTTTTCACTGACCCTCTATTTTACCAAGCACAATGTCCTTCTTCAGGGACTGGTCCCTCCTGATAACATGTCCAAAGTGTGTGAGACATAGTCTCGCCATCCTTGCTTCTAAGGAGCATTCTGGTTTACTTTTTCCAAAACAAATTTGTTCATTCTTTTGGCAGTCCATGGTATATTCAGTATGCTTCGCCAACATCACAATTCAAAGGCGTCAGTTCTCCAGTCTTCCTTATTTGGCTTTCACGTACGTATGAGGTGATTGAAAACAGCATTTCTTGGGTCAGGCACACCTCAATCTTCAAGGTGACATCTTCGCTTTTCAACACTTTAAAGAGGTCTTTTGCAGCAGATTTGCCTAATGCAATGCATCCTTTGATTTCTTGACTGCTGCTTCCATGGGTGTTGATTGTGGATGCAAGTAAA